CGTCTTTAGTGCCAGAGAAGTAATGTGTTATGAAAGCGGCTTTGTCTTTGCATTCTGTTTCCACGCCGTATGACTTGTGTTTAGATTAACGACTTTTGAGTTCAGTTGAAGTTTATAAGCGTATATGACAGGAGTTTGATTAATAGCTTTTTATTCATTGTTTATTAGTTACCGCTTTGCAATGCTTTAACCGAGAGACGCATCCCTGGTAATCACGTGATCATACTGTCGACTGCAGCGATTGGCTGATCGCTTGGTTATACCGCCACGCCTTAGTTTTTTTTTGACCTTTTGATATATAGATTGTAACCTTAGTAACGGAGAAAGTGAAGCGATGGGTTACCTCAGCGAACCTGTTTGAGAAAAGTGAGTCGATTGGTAGCCTTTCACTTGTTTTTTGATTTATAACCGTTGATATTTGTGACTTTATAACCATTGTATTTAGACTTATAATCAGTTTATTAATTAGTGTGTTTTACTCTTTTTGATTTATACCTTTTCTTAGTATTGTATTTAACCCATATGACGATGAGTGGCTGACGGTATCTTTGATTTGTGAACGTGCAATGCCGAGAGACATATCTCAGTTTGGGTGAAGGGATGTGTCATGAATTTGTTTTTGCGTATCTGTTGACCGACTTAATTAGCTGATTATTAGCTGAATTGCTGTGTTATGTCCGTCATCGGACGGAACTTGGCTCAGTGATTTGGAACTAATTACCAGATAACCGCCGCTTTTAGACTACTCATTTTGACAGTTTATATCCGTAGTTATTAATGTAGTGAACGATTAATCAAAAGATATGACGTATTCAGTACTTAGTTTGATTGGCTTTATGATTGAAGGTTACGCCCTAGAGTCTTTTTACTGCTTTGTAATTGGTTAGAGTTGTGAAAATGAATAAAGAGAGTTTGAGTTGGTCTTGACGAACACAGCACGATAGACGCAGTAAAGAGAGAGTGCAGTCCTGGAGAGTCGAGAGTCCAGTCCAGGGGCGAGCCTTGAGGCAGTCCAGTCTTGGGCGAGTCTTGGTTCAGCCTTGTGAAAGTCTTGGGGACTTTTCCCTAGGGCGCTGTGTCTTATAGAGTGCTCCAAAAGATCGACTAAGACGAGAGTTGAAACGTATTTCGTTGTGTGTGTCTTATTTGACTGTAAAGTTAAAGTGATTTTCCCGATCCCGTACCTCAAGGGGACGAGATAGAGAGACGAGACGTGATTCCCCCCTGACAAGTGTGGAGAACCCAGAGAGAGTAAAGATTTACCCCTGATACCAGCATCACCGCGCAGCAAGTTTCGCAAAGAAGTACTTCAAGTTCAATTGCGTCCCAAAATTATGTCGCTAATCACTCAGTTGTCGCAGCGTGTGTTGTGTGATGTCCATGATGCACCCCGTTTCGACTTTGACTTGCTTTTCCTTCTTAGTGCATGTTCTTGTTCACGTAAAATGCGACCTCTCACCAATGTATTAAAACACTTTGAATTTATACTTTGCATGATTATATTTGGTCAACGCGAAACATTATTTTTTCTAGACCATTTCTATCAACGCAGGGTTATTTTTTTTAGAAAAGATGGGCCTCGTAATATCTGCCAAAAGATCTTTTGGTCCACATTTTTCTAAAAAAAATCGAATCCTCCATAAGATCGCCCAGGGCGGGGTATCAGCCGAATCCGGTATATTAAGTAAATATACATCGTTAGTATTTCCTCTATCACTGGCATGTTTGATCTTTTTGACTCCCATGTGCGAAACACAAAAAAGGAGTCTTTGCAGTTAGTGTGTCTGTCTGTGTGACTGTTCCACTGATATCTCAAGAACCATACATTGATTTTTGATGAAACCTGGTGCATAGATGCTCTGGGCAAATGCTCAGATTTGATTAGGTTTTGGTAAAAATTCATGCATATTAATTACCTAATTTGCATGATAATTTGCTGATTTTTAGCTGTTCCATGATTGTTCCACTGATATCTAAAGAAGTTTTGGGTAAAAATCTGTGCAATATTAATTACCTAATTTGCATAATTAATTAATTTTTAGCTTTTGATATTTTAAGTAGTAATCATCACATTTCAATAAAACCTGGTACATAGATGTCATAGGACACTGCACAGACCTGATAGTTTTTAGTTTAATATCAGTACATATTAATTACCTAATTTGCATAATTAATTAATTTTCAGCTTTTTATATTTCAAGTAGTAATCATCACATTTCAATGAAACTCTGTACATAGTCACTTAATGACTGTGCAGAGATCTGATTAGTTTCGGGGTAAATATTTGTGCATATTAATCACCTTATTAGTATAATTAATTAATTTTCAGCTTTTGATATTTCAAGTAGTAATCATCAATGAGATTTGCTACATAGATCATCTAGGACTATGCAGAGACCTGATTAGTTTAAGGGTAAATAATTGTGGATATTAATTACCTAGTTCGCATAATTAGTTAATTTTTTCAATGAATGTTCCACTGATATATAAATAATCACTAATTGTATTTTAATGAAACTAATGCGTATTCATCATCACATTTCAATGAACCTATAACTATGCAGAAACCCAATTAGTTTTTAATTAATTAATTATAACACTGATATCTCAATTACTGATCATCATATTTGAATAACA